GAAATATGGTATTTCCTTCAGATAAAACATTTGTTGGTGGAATGTACTGTAGATGTAAGACAAGTATGTATACCCTACTGGATATATCTTTATTATATCGTTAACAAGACTGGACAGAAGTTAAGTTCCTGTTACCTGTTTTAATTACTTGATGGTTTGCCATGCCAAGTCTGAAATATTTCAATCATTTCTATTTTGGGTTTTAATATTATTTTTGAGTACTCCATGTACCTTGCTGTGCAATTCATGTGATTTTTTATTTTTTTTTTTTTAGATAGAGCAAGCATGTCACTCCATTGTGCACTATTAAACTGTATAACTCAGGCCTTGTTCTTTTATAATGGCTCTGTGGAAGTTGCTTGAGTGCTCCTGAGTGGCAATGGATCAAGTCAACAGGCTTATGGTGTATAAAAGTCACAATATTATCACAGAGTTTCCATGCCACTAGGAAAGATTGGCACAGAGGGTGGAGTGAGTTGACAGGTTGTTCAATGTGGTACAAGTTTTTCATGTTATAGCTACCACCTGGACTACAGGATCTGCATTTAGGGCAGTGTCAATATGTTGGGCAGAATTTTTGTGTGTGTGTATGTATGTGTGTGTGTGTGTGTGTGTGTGTGTTTCCCAATCTAAAAATAGCATCCTATTGTTGCTAAATTATAATGTAATGGTTAAAGCAGGGGTAGGCAACCTAAGGTCCGTGGGCCAGATGCGGCCCAATCGCCTTCTCAATCTGGCCCGCAGATGGTCCGGGAATCAGCGTGTTTTTACATGAGTAGAATGTGTACTTTTATTTAAAACTCTGGGTTATTTGTGGGGAATAGGAATTTGTTCATTCCCCACCCCCCAAAAGAACCCTGGCCCACCACATGGTCTGATGGATGGTGGACCAGCCCATGGCTGAAAAAGGTTGCTGATCCCTGGGTTAAAAAGCATAGCTGGGACACCTTCATAGTGACCACATGGAGATGCCATAAGTCATGTTCATTGAATAAGTCACACTATTCCTTGGTAAACCTGTATCTTGTTTTCTTCCAAGAAGCTCAGCATGTTGTTTAATAATACATAACCCTAAGACTAAGAAATAATCCTTAAGCTCACATTCAGCATTATGGTCACTTTCAGCAAGCCAGGGAATCAACAGGTGGTGGGACAAGTTAGGATTGTGCCCCCATCCTGACCGCCTCACAGTTTTGGTAAGACATAGATGTGTTGCATACATACACTAGCTCTGCAGCAGGTGGATCATTGATGTTTATTGGAGGAGAAAGGGGGAAGGGGAAGGTGGCAGGGATGCCAGCATGGTGTAAACTCACCAGCAGAGCCAACCTGGTTCTCTTAATGGTGTTTGCGTTGCACCAACCACCCTACCACTTTGCTTGCCTTCCTGCTAGCAAGCAACAGCAACCCGCCTTCCAGGAAGCTAAGGTTGCAGTTCTGCCCCATTCAGTAAGCTGCTTCTGTAGGAATTTTGTTGTTCAAAATCACGAGTAAAGGTTGAGGGTGGTATCCAACTAAACAGTTCTGCTAGTGCAAGCACTTTTGGCCGCACAATGAAACTTTCCCTCCCTCTCTCCTCCCTGTTCATCTCCACATCAATCTGCTCCAGAGGTTGGAGGAACCCTCAGAACCTATTTAGGAAGCATGAGGGGGCACCTGGGGAGAGGAGAGGAAGAGGGCAGCCAAAAATGTTTTCACAAGCAGAACTGTTTAGCTGGGCACCGCCCTGGGTGAACACATACAACCTGATGTGCAGAAATGCAGTGTGGAACTTGCATCAAAAACATTGCATCGCAGTGGTTGGAACAGATGACCCTCAGCATTCCTTCCAACTCTATGAGTATGTGATTCTATTACCATAGAGTCCAGGAGTGAGAAAGGCCAACACCCTCCACTGGACTGTGACTTTATTCAGCTTGCTAAACATAGAGTTTCCCAAACTTGGGTCTCCAGTTGTTTTTGGATTACAACTCCCACACTCCCTAGCTAGCAGGAACAGTGTCAAGGGATGATGGGAATTGTAGTCCAAAAACAGCTGGAGATCCAAGTTTGGGAAACTTTGGTTTAGGGCTATAGTGACTTGTCGAAGAATGGATGCTTTTGAATTATGGTGTTGGAGGAGACTCTTGAGAGTCCCATGGACTGCAAGAAGATCAAACCTCTCCATTCTTAAGGAAATCAGCCCTGAGTGCTCACTGGAAGGACAGATCGTGAAGCTGAGGCTCCAATACTTTGGCCACCTCATGAGAAGAGAAGACTCCCTGGAAAAGACCCAGATGTTGGGAAAGATTAAGGACACAAGGAGAAGGGGACGACAGAGGACGAGATGGTTGGACAGTGTTCTTGAAGCTACGAACATGAGTTTGACCAAACTGCGGTAGGCAGTGGAAGACAGGCGTGCCTGGCGTGCTCTGGTCCATGGGGTCACAAAGAGTCGGACACGACTAAACGACTAAACAACAACAATGACTTGTCAATTTGATTATGAAGGATTGTCATACTAGATTGGATTTGTACATCATGTAGCCCAGTACCCTATACTATGAAAAGCTTCCCTACAGCCAACAACTACTGAACATTAGCCTGACAAGAGTGTGCTGCTAGCAGAAGAACAAAATAAATGCATCTAATATCAGTGATGAAACATGATACATATCAGTACTTCATGATTCAAAAAGTAATTCTGTATATAACTAAACTAGGTAACTCATGTAAGTGACGCATGCTGCATGCTAGACTGGAGGAAGACAAGAAAGTCCCTCAGATTTGTCTAAAAACTCTTGATTCCAAAACCAGTAATAATTCAGACCCTGAACATGAAGAAAACTCCATCCAAAGCAAGCACTAAACTCTTTATACTCAAATTCAGACTCTTTCATTCAGGATTAATTAGGAATAGGTATCTTCTTTGGCTCTGTGATGATGATAACAAATACAGATTAGATTACTTCTCAACGATAGGATCAAACATAACCTGAAAGACCAAGGTCTTTGACTATATTCTTTAAGTATGACAGGAGTGTAGAAGTGTCTAAAATGACAACTAACCTGCTGAACACATCCAATTTCTGTTCTAAATGGCATAAAGGTGTCATTTTGCTTCCTGACATTTGAGAATTCACTGCTGACTCCTTAATGTGTAGGACTTTTCACTCCAGTGGAAACATGAGCAGAAACACACTGAGTTCTCATGAAGATTACAAGTCACGGATTGAACTGGAATCTAAAAAGTAGCGCTTCACTGAGATATAGCTGCAATCCTGTACTCTCTGTTACACACACTGTCTCACAGAAGTCAATAAGGAACTAGGCACCAGACTATAACTGAGATTTTCCACCAATATATTGTTACAAGTAATGACAACAGGAAATCTATTTCCAAGTCTCTTTTTAATTCTGAGATGTGCAGGCTGAATTCATGCATCATGTAAAGTCATTTTCCCATACGGGATGCGTGGCTCAGAACAGAAAGATACTTGCTAGGCTTCATATTTCATAGAGAAATTGAAATGAAATGAATTTTGCAGTGGCACTTTACATCTGACATCATGCATGTGGTTAATTTTTTTTTTTACTAATAAAGCCATCCATATCCAGTCCAGATCTCTTTAAGAAAACTGCTACACTGGGCTTTTATTCTTTAGAAACCTGAACACTCCTATTCTTGTGGATACCTGTCAACCACAGGCTGATTAGGTCCTTGTTGCTCACTTCAGAAACCCAGCAAGCAGAAAACGACATCAGGGCAACGGCGTCCCCCTCTCACCAGCTATCCTCATGCAAGCAAAACGCACAACAGGAAAAACCAATTATATCTGAGGGTTTTGCCGAAGTAACATTGGAAATTGTCAACAATGGTTATTTCTGAAGGCTCCCTCTTCGCTGCACACAAGAGTTCAGCAGAGAATGCTCGCATTTCCTGTGGAAACTAGTTTCGCTGCTGTTACCGGTGACATGCCACCGATGCTTGTCCTTTATATTGTTTTTTTAAGGCAAAAATGCAAAATAAAACATGGCATTTTTGCAACGGCCACAATGAAATGTTTGCCCCGCTCACCACCTTGCAGACATATTTTTTTTTAATCACCACCAGGGAAGAAAGGGGTGTGTGAGAGTGAGTGAGTGAGAGAGAGAGAGATTTCAGCAGGAACAGAAAAGCTCTTGCCCTCACATCATGGTGCCTTGGAGATGTCAAGAGTTTATAAAACGGAGGTGGGAAGAAGTGAGCACTTCCACCTCTCTCTGTGTGTGTGTTTTCTCTCCCTCCATTGATCTCTCTCTCTCTCTCTCCCTTAGTTCTTGATGTCATCCGATCCACGCGCATTCAAAAGCCTCTCGAGACCCTTAGCGAGTGGATGACTGCGCGATGCTTGCGATTACAGACACAGTCACACCTCTCTCCGGGGTGTGTGTGTCAACTTCAATAAAATGGGGGGGGGGTGTTCCAGGTAAACCCCTCCCCATACCGTCGATCACGTGGCACTATTTGAATGGCAATGCCCATCAACTTTGGGTGGCCCTGGCCAATATTGTATTGGGGGCCCCCCAAAGGACCTTGCCCCCCTAGGAATCGGCTCTCTTATGCATCCCCCGTCCCCCTTCTCTCTCTCCTGCACACTTCTCCATCCCTCGCTTCCTTGACACGCGTGGGGTGTCAGTCCCGCGACGGGGGATCCTCGTGTGCGCAAGGAGCTCGGCGGGGAGCAGGCGGCGGAAGAAGCGCCAGAGAGGCGGCCAACACGAGGGACCTGCTGCTCTTGCCGCTTCTGGCTCGCACCTCGCCGGGTCCCGAGAGCCCCGTGGCTCCTCTCCCCGCGAGGGAGCAGCTCTCTCCCTCGGACCCCCGAAGGCGGAGGGAGTCCCGAGCCAGCCGGGCTCGCCTTCTGCGCCTCCAGCGGCTTGGAGAGGGGCGGGACCCTGGGCGCAAACTTGTGGCTCCCCTCCTCTCCAACCCTCCAGCTCTTCTCCCCTCGGGCGCAGGAGGAACTGCTGGCACTCACCCACCCCCGTCCGCGGCTCTCGGCTCTCCCTCCGCCGCCGCCTCCGGGGACTCCGGCTCGCTCCCTCTCCTCTCCCGCCTCGCCGCTGTCTGGCTCCGGCAGCGCGCGGGCTTGGCGGGACGAGAGCGCCGGCTTCTCCAGGCTGCTTGCGTCACAATGAAGCGGAGGCCGTCCCCCGTCCCCCCCTACGCGCCGGGAATTCGGGGGGCTGCGATCGTGGTGCGGGGGAGGGAGGGGGTTTCCACGTGACTTCAAAGGAAGGCCTTGAGCTGGGGGGGGGGGACGAGGAAGAAGAAGGTGAAGAAGAAGGAGGAGGAGAGGAGCAGGCAAGGCGAGGTGGGGAAAGGTGGTCGGGATGGGAAGCGTTCCGCCGCGCTCGCCGCTGCGTCTGGAGCTGCCCCGCTCGGCCGGCGCTGGATGCTGAAATAGCCCCTGGCAGCCCCCTCCCCCGGCCGCCCCTCGCCGGCCACGCGCTCCCAGGCTCTCCTGCTCATTCGTCTGGCGCTCGCTTTTCTCCCCCCCCCCTCCCAGTCGCCTCCCCACCCCCCCTCCGCGACACACGTTAGCTTTCTCTCTCTCTCTCTTTCGCGCAGTTCTTCTGCTGTTCTTTGGCACGCATTCCTTTGCTCTCCTTCCCCCGATTCTCTGCTTCACGCCCCCCCCACGCCGTCATTTTCCTCTGGCAACACTTTCCATGTTTGCCCATCCGACACACTTTCTCTCGTCGCCGCCGCTCTTCCCCATCCTCCCTTTTTCTGTTCACACTCCTGTCTCTCCATCCCTCTTTTCCGCCACCCCCTGCAATTTGGCTTTCTTCACCTTTGGGGTGACTTTTCTCCAACGCCCATAGCCAGGATTTATGATATTTTTGGGGGGAGGGGGGAGGGGTTCAGGACCACCGCCTGTCATCATCCTCTGCCTGGCTCTGTCTAGCAATGTCTCGACAACGGTTGTTTTAGACTCATAGAGTCGGAAGGTAAGATCCACTCATGGTTTGTAGTCTGCTTTTTGCCTATTCCTGGTTCAAGGCTTAAAAGGTTATAGCAGGGTACCCCAAATTTAGTACTCCAGTTGTTGTTGGATTACAACTCCCATCATCCCTAGCTAGCAGGGCCAGTGGTCAGGGATGATGGGACTTGTAGTCCCAAGAAAACAGCTGGAGACCCAAGTTTGGGAAACCCTGGTTATAGCAAAACTTAGAATCATAGAGTCAGAAAGGACCATTAGGATCACCTAGTTCAAGGTCCTGCAATGCAGCAATATGCAGCCGTCCCAGACGAGGATTGAACCTGCAACCTTGGCATTATCAGCACATGCTCTAACAAATAGAGCTATAGTACATATGAACTAGGGACGCGGGTGGTGCTGTGGATTAAACCACTGAGCCTAGGACTTGCCGATCAGAAGGTCGGCGGTTCAAATCCCCACGACGGGCTGAGCTCCCGTTGCTCGGTCCCTGCTCCTGCCAACTTAGCAGTTCAAAAGCACATCAAAGTGCAAGTAGATAAATAGGTACCGCTCTGGCGGGAAGGTAAACGGCGTTTCCGAGCGCTGCTCTGGTTCGCCAGAAGCGGCTTAGTCATGCTGGCCACATGACCCGGAAGCTGTACACCGGCTCCCTCGGCCAATAAAGCGAGATGAGCACCGCAACCCCAGAGTCGGTCACGACTGGACCTAATGGTCAGGGGTCCCTTTACCTTTACCTTTACATATGAACTAGTAGCCCTAACTCAGGGGTGAAGCCATGCTGAATGACACCTATGGGAACAGGAGTCCAACAACATACTTCCTATTGACCCCAAGGCTTCAGAAAACCCTGTCAAAACCTTTCTACAATTTCTACTTTTAGTTAAGTTACAGATAGCTCATACCAAACTCATGCACACAAAAGCTCATACCAAGAACTAACTTAGTTGGTCTTTAAGGTGCTACTGGAATGAATTTTCTTACTTTTAGTTAAGTATTTTTATTTATTTGCTTGCTTTTTTGTGGGGGGGGGCAGCTGCCCCCCTGCCCCCTGGCTACGCTCATGTCTATGGAAATTTGTCATTTGATTTTTCTCTTTAACACCCTTTCTGTTGGTCCATCTGCTGCACACCTTCCATCACTAAAGAGGAGCTCCGCCAGATTAAAATCTCAAGGAAGATGACATCTTTGTTGTTCACCTTCATTTGTGTTGTTCTAAGGACCTGTTGGGATCTGAAATAAAGGAAGACCAATGAAGCTACAGCAGTGGAGGGGAGGGCGGGGAGGAAGAGGCAGCCCCTTAAAATGGGAGACATTCCCTTCAAACCTAATTAGCCAGTTTCAGCAGGATTGCCTGGGCTTTAATTAAGGACTTTGCCCTCTTCCGAGACTTGGCAGAAGTGTCCAAAGCTGGCCTCAGCCGGTAGGAACAGACTGTTTTGGCCAATGTCCAAGTTACCCTTCTGGCTGAATGTGAAATGTTTGCACTGTTATGGTTCAGGATGCTTCCACATGTCGCTATCCTTCAAGAGCAGGTTCTCATCAGCTTCACAGTGGCTCTGCTAAGACCATGCGCCTTGTGCAGTAGCAGTGCTTGCTCATGTGCTGCACCCAGACTTTCCACCAAATTGCCATGTTGCTTGCAGCATTTCCCTCCGTGACCTGCAATGGAAATGCAGCTTCAGGATGTGCAAAAGAAAGCCTTATAATTTACCTTAAGTGCCTGTCTTAGCACTGCCTTGGAGCTTCCTCTTCCTTGCTTAATAGTCCACAAAGAGGATGGAGGGTTCTTCCATTTGTTTCTGTACCTTCCCCTGGTTATTGTTCCACATTCTCCTAGAGAATTCTTGTCTTTGCTAAGAATACTGTACAACGCCAGCCTGCAGTCTGTTGATGCCCCACAACATAGTGTGGAAAACCTTAACACATAACATGAACCACACAGCCCTGCTTATGAGTGTTTCTAGTTGGAATAGCAATCTAGTATCTAAAAAAAGCAAACATTTTTCTTTTCATCTGAAACAGTATAGCTGATCTGCAGCAACAAGTTATGATTTGAAAGCTCATGTGTCTGGGAGTGGGGAAATGAAGTTTAAAAATTCATCCAAGTTGCTACCACACCTCGGAATTCAGATACTAATGTTGTCATGACCCCTGAATCTAGAAATGATCTGGATCAGGGCCGTGCGCTGGTCCACCATCCCTCAGCTCATGTGGTGGGCTGGACTATATTTTTTGGGGGAGAAATGAACAAATTCCTATGCCCCACAAATAACCCAAAAATGCATTTTAAATAAAAGGACACATTCTACTCATGTAAAAACACGCTGATTCCTGGAATGTCCAGGGTCCGGATTGAGAAGGTGATTGGGCCGCATCTATCCTGCGGGCCTTAGGTTGCCTACCCATGATCTGGACACAGTGCCAGAAGCTGCAGGGGCACCAAACACGGAGAACATTGGTCATGAGGCTGAGGAATTAGATGCCTCCCATTGCACACCACAGTCCGGTGGAGCTGGAAACATACTAGGACATAAGCTGTGGAAGGAAGGAGTCCTTGTCTTCAAGCCAGGGGTTTGGCACGTTAAGGATCTGAAGTTCTTCACAAAGGGGTGGAGTTAGAAGAAGTAGTCTGAGATAGAGGTCAGCTGAGGCTGATGGGAGTTGAGTCCAATAACATTTGGAGGATTGCAGGTTCCCCATCCCTACTGTAGACAACAGACCACAACTTCTACACCTTCCAAGATTTAAGTCATTAGAGTGGACAGTCAACAAATGACATTAAGAGAGATGGGGCAGGCAGAGATATTGCAAGAGTCAAGAGGTTATAGCAGAGGTCAGCAAGCTTTTTCAGCCATGGGCCGGTCCACCGTCCCTCAGACCATGTGGTGGACCAGACTATAATTTTTTGGGGGTGGGTGGGAATGAACGAGTTCCTATGCCCCACAAATAACCCAGAGATGCATTTTAAATAAGAGGACACATTCTACTCATGTGAAAACACGCTAATTCCCGGACCGTTTGCAGGCCGGATTAAGAAGGCAAATGGGCAACATCTGGCCCCTGGGTCTTAATTTGCCTACCCCTGGGTTATAGAAAAAAGAAGTTGGAAAGGAACAAATTAGTAGGCTCTTCCCTATGAACGTTTGCACCACCATAAGATGGTCTGTATTATTGCCACATTTTATTTTTACCAGCAAATCTACTCTTTCATAAGCTATTGATAATATGATCCAATTAGTAATTAGTTATCATCATTCTGTTTTGTTATAGTGGGATTTCCCTTTCCAGGCTGGTTGGAGCTGAATATATTTTCCATGTAAAGGAACTGACCCTTTGTAAATCTGACAGCCTTCCCTCATATCAAGGACAAAACTCCCATGAGGTTTTTAATGCAAATGAATTCTTGGCCTTTTCAAAACTGTACCTTCTCCATGTAGCAGGAGGGGAGAAGCTGATTCCACCGCCTCTTAATGTTTGAGAGCATAAAGGGTTAATTAAACTTTTGTGCAAAGCGATACATGTTTCCTTTGCCAGATCAGATCATAAATAAAAGGAGTTTATTTCCAGCTGCAATTAATGAGTAGATGAGGATGATACTGCTTTGTTTGTTTCCAAATAAATATTGACTCTTTTGTTTATTTAGTACAGATTATCTAGTACATCACTAGTGACTGTTCTAATGAGGTCATTTAAGGTGAGCATGGACAGAATAAATATATGGAGAGAATGTCTATGCCCTCCCACCTTCTGCTCACCCCGCTATAGTTAATGGCAAAACTTCCACTAACTCCAGTAGGTTCATTTTCAGCCATAAATTCCAGGATTGACAGAGCAGTTCTTCAGATCTAGTCAGTCTGTCATATGCACTGTCAAAGACAGCTTGTTCATTCAAGGTTCAATTGTTGGATGGAAAGATAAAATCTCTTGGGGCCTGGGGAGGCCCAGCCCAGGGATATGTAAATTACCATGGGGGGAAACTAAGGCTAAATTGTTAATAAGGCCTGAGGAAGTTTGTGCAAACTTATTTCCCAGTTGTTTATATGGGATGCTCAGATCTTTAAGATTGGTGTGTGTGTGTGTGTGTGTGTGTGTGTGTGTGTGTGTAGCTAATGAAAACAGAGTTAGGGCCCAGGGCCTCAGAGCAGAAATAGGAAGAAAGTTGCTTGTATAAGAAACTCTGTGACTTGTAGTCGGGAGACAGAGGAGAGTATACCATTCATTGCATCAAGAACTACAAGTCCCAGAGTTTCTAAATTTTAATTCAGGCTTCAAACTATCATTATTTTGCAGGAGAAACTCGAGTACATACCAGAATGTTAAAGGTAAAGGTAAAGGGACCCCTGACCATTAGGTCCAGTCGTGACCGACTCTGGGGTTGTGGCGCTCATCTCGCTTTATTGGCCAATCAGAATCAATGCTGGATGAATGCTTGTCATATAACCTCCCCACAAGCAAATCAGAATGAATGCTCCGT